CTGCTCCCGCCTCCTGCCTCCTGTGCATTAATCACTGCCATTGCCATTGCCATCACCTGCTTTTGCTTTCCCACCTCTCACCACCCTCACCCACGCCCAGCCCCCGCGCATTGCTGTCCTGTATTCCATAGGCGTTGCATAGACTACTAACGGGCCTCAAACACCAGCCCATCAAACACGCGCCCCGCCCGCCTGTCGCCTGCCCGCCAACGGGGCCCGTCTATCCTCAGCGCGAAACACAGCAGCATCGGTACCGCCAGTCTTAGCAAAAACCGCGCCCCTATTGCTGCTTCTGCCGTAGGCGAGGCGCGCAGGAACAGGATTGCCCGCCGTGCGTCACCAGCCAGCAGTTGCACAAAGCACGCCTGTCGTCTCCCGCGGCGCCAGTGTTTGATTGGGCCGCCCAGCAGGGTTGTGAGCAGCAGACGGCATCATGTTTGCAGAGCCGTCAATGCCAGGTAAGGCTGCTCCTGAATTTGCCTGTTTCACCGAGACTTGGGCTGTGACGAAATAGGACGCGCCGCTGATCATATTGCTTATCTACAGAAAGGCGACCCTCGCCAGGCCTGCAGCTCAACCTCTCCTCCAACAACCCCTTCCGCCGCGCTGCCTCTCCCGGTTTCCCCTCGCCCGCCAGTGCCAACCGCTCGAGCTCGGGCAGCAGACCAATGTCGCGCAATCCCTTTATATCTACCTTCGAGGCCGAGTTTAACAAGGAGGCATCCAGAGACCTCGTTGACATGTCGGCCACCATGAAGGACTCCCCCAAGAAATCAAACTTTGGCTTTGCCGCCGAAGAGCTCTTTGTACGTTCTCCCCCCTTGCAGGCCAATCGCCCGTGCCGTGACGGCTGCCAGCGCCGTCACGTCGTGCAAGCCGCGCACGCTGCACGCTGTAGCAAAATGCGGTGCACTCTCTAGCTACACCACCGCCATTGAGCCATCAACATGGACCGCTTCAGGCGCTTTGTGATGCAGTTCGCTGACTATCCTGCCCTCACCCAGGCCAACCTCACCATCGACGACACCGATAAGAAGCGAGCTCCCCCGCCACGACCTGCCCCTGCTCGCAGCGGCACCGATCCCCGTGCAAGCCACCGTCCCTCGCGCTCCGAAGAGGAGAGACAGCGCATGCGGGAAGCTTCTCGCGGAGGCTCTCGACCACGTGGACCTCCCAGCTCGTCGCGCCCTCCCCAGCTCAACAGCCCCGAACGCCGCGAGAACCGCCGCCCCCGACGCAACTCCGAATCCTCCATCATCGACCGAGGCTCGCTCGACCCGCGTGAAGAGCGCAGGCGCAGGGAGCGCCGCAAGGAGCGCGAAGAGCGTGCTAGAGACGGCAAGGACAGCAAATCTGGCGGCAAGAAGGTCCGCAGGCCGCAGGGTCTTGATCTCATTGACAAACTCGATGTGACTGGCATCTACGGACCTAGCATGATCCACCACGATGGACCGTACGACGCTGTGCAACCCCACCGCAACCGTAAGAAGGACCAGCGCGCACCCATGCATGCTTTCCCCGTCGGTTCAGCCAACAACACTCTGGGTGGCTCTGGACCTCTGAACACAAAGATCGATCTGGACAGGATCCATGGCAGGGGTGCCGAGGGCTTCACCGACTTTGCCGGTGCCGAGACCGAGTGGAAGAAGCCAGCCCCAGTGGCCGCAGAGTTCAGCGCAAAGGGCCGAGAAGACATTGTACACGGCGAGCAGACCCATGGTCTTGGAACATCCACCTTCCTTGAGGGCGCCCCGGCTTCCCGCAAAGCGATACAAGAGGAGTCCGATGCTCAGAGGCAGAAGCAACTAGCTGACGGCGGTCTCGGTCGCAAGAAGTCCATCGCCCAGCGATTCCGCGGCATCTCTCAGCCCCGTCGTTACGGTGACGGCCCACGCATCACTTCGCCCGAGGCACGTTACGGAGCTGCCACCAGCCCAAGCGGCCCTTACAGCGCAGGAGCCATCTCGCAGACCAAGGCCGCAGAGCAGAACCCTTTTTTCAGCGACGACTACGATAAGGCCTACGACGCCAAGGGCGCAGCCATCAAGACCAACGAGGGCGGAGCTTCACCACCGCGGGGCGCTGCGTTGCAGCGATCCATCACCACCGACAGTGTAGGATCTCCCACAGGCGAGGCCAAGCCCAGCGGTGGGTTCCTCAACCGCGTCAAGTCTCTCAAGGGCGGACGTCGACGTCCCGCTTGAGTATTCCCAGGCATGGTTGAAACGATTCGACCACTTCACTCATCTTCCCTCTGAGCGGCTCAAGTCCATTTCGAAGGACACAAAAGACACGATGTATATCGCCCACGGCGACGACTGCAGCCAGCTTATTTCTCCTATCGTCACACACCTCCCTTCGGGTCATACACTTTCCTTCCGTCTGGCGCTGGAGTCGTTGGGGCTTGAAAGCACGAGGTCTGGATACCACTCATGTGTAACAGAACTCAGGCACGCTTCAACAAGATAAAGAAGGCTCTCCCTTCTTCAAACCACCAGCTTCAATTTTTTCAATCGAGTCACTTTTTCCTTTCAATGCGCAGAAATTGGGCTACTTGCATAGCTCTTATAACACATCAAGTTTGCGATACTTTGGGGATGCGAGGCATAGAATCTGTAGCTAGGAATCAAAATTTGCAAACATCAAGATACCATACCATTGGAATTCTACACATGTGATGCCGTTTATTTGCCTCCGTTGATCGCCATCTAGACCCGCTCGATGTTCAGGGGCATCCGATTGTTCCTGGCGCCCGCCAGGATCGTCCTTGACGCGTTCCTGTCGCCCAAGAAACCCCCACTCGAGCTTACTGCCCAATCCTTGAGGGGCGGACATCGACGCCGCAGCTGCGTTGCCCCTGGCACATGACCTGATGATGTATCGCCGATATCAATGCTCTCAGCCGCACGCCACGACGCCAGCAATAAGATCGGCGGCGCGGAAGTTTGGATCGCAAGCCACCACCGTATTTCTCCAGTAAGATCTTCGATGCCACGTTTCGGCGAGATATTTGCCTAGTGTCGGCTAGTCGATTGGGTGGTGCGTTATTGTGGAAGAGGTTAGCTGCGATACGCATCTGCGGGCTGATGGGCGTTGATTGATGCCTCAGGATTGGGCTGAGCATGTAGTGCGTACAGAGGCTCAGGATTCTGTAGAGCTAGTACATGACGTGGATGCATCACTTGGTACGTGAAGAAGGATGGAAGTGCAGGTGCTGCTCTTCTTTGATCAAGGCCTGGCGCGTCGAGACAGCGATGGGTCTAGTATTAGGCAATGTCGAAGAGATTCCTGCATGCACGTGATTCTGGTAGCACCATAATTTTCGTTGTCTGTCGATTTGTATCCAAGTTGAAAGAACAGCAGAATTGTACGTTTTCAACAAAGGTTGCACCTTCCTCCATTTCATCTCGCGCTAGCGCTTCTCTTTCCGAATGTGGTTCCGATAAGCCTGCACCACTACACTCACAGTGCCGTGCCTCACCATCGTACACCAGATAGCGATATGGCTGCCGCTCAACTAGCTCTCGATAGGCTGAGTATATCAGCAAGACCCGCAGAGCCGTTGCTTGCATCCCAGTTGATTGGCGACCAAGACCTCGATGAGCTGCTCGAGAGCGTCTGCAACGTCAATCTTCAGCACCAAAATGGCGTTGGAGGAAACCTACTACAAACTGGAGTCAAGAGCTTAGACGATGCTTTCGGCGGTGGGATACAGAGCGGAAGAGTTGTAGGAGTCAGTGGAGAAGCTGGGGCGGGTGGAAGTGAGGTGAGTATCCCGACTGTGGATGTCAAAGAACAACATATTGCGAGGAAGTCCGAAGATGAACAGGCGTTAGATTAACACTTCTAGATCTGCTGTACCCTGCTTGCGAGCTCTCTTCTTCAATACGAGAACTCGACGGCTGCTGTAGTTGACACCACCGGCAACTTCGATGTACTACGACTTTACACCATGATCGTCGCTCAACTGTCACGACGACCAGATATCCAAACATCCTTGCGTTCATCACTAAACCAGGGACCTGAAACTCCGACTGAGGATCTAGCAGCAAAGGTACTTGACCGTGTCAAGATTATGCGTGTTTTCGATTTCGTGGGTGTGAGAGAGGCTATTGGTGAGATCCGGGATGGGATCGAAAAGAAGAAGGACGTTGAACTTGCTTCTAGTACTGGGGAGAAGAAAGCGACTTCACCCATTGAGGAGCGTGCGCAGGAGGAGGCGCCCGTCGAGAAGGTACCAGTGAAGCGAACTTATGTTGCAGATAGCGAAGACGAAGAAGACGACGAGGAGATGTTATTCGATTCAGACGTTACCGGCACCACAGAAGCGCAGCCTGTACAGAACCCAGAGCCAGTCCGAATCGAGCCTTCAGAAGACACAAATGCAGAGATTGTGCCGGGACCCATCAAGATCGTCCTGATCGACAACCTTGCTCAAGTCCTCAACCCTTTGTTGAAGAAAGACTATATACAAGGTACCTGCTATTACATCCCAGCCCCAATACGGACTGACCAGTTCCAGCAAACGCAGTAGCAGCCGCCTTCCTCACAACGCTCTCAAATCTCACACAAGCCCACGCACTCCACACTCTTCTCGTAAACCCAGCTCTTCCTCCACGCGCTTCTTCACCTAGACGCCCTGTACCACAAAATCAGCTAAGCCCTCTACCTCCGCAACAGCGGCGAGAGCCACCACTTCCCCCTTCCATTTTTGCGAGTAATGACGTCCTACCAAATTTGATTCATTTACTAGGACGGTACACAGATATGGAGGTGTTGGTGAGTCGGCTACCAAAACGAAAGATGGACGCGAAAGTGTACTATAGTGATCCTGGCGGGAAAGGGACGAAGCGAGGTGTTGAGATGGTGAGCGTGCTGGAGGTAGTGAGTGATCGCTGGGGAGGGAGGACTGGTGCGTGGGGTACTTTTCGTGAGAGCAAAGATGGTATCAGAGATGTGTGAAGTGTATTCGATATCTAGATACACTTGTGTGAAATCTATCACGGGGCTTCTGAGGAGAATTTGTCGTCACCAGTATTTCTTACCCATCCCTTCAGTGCTTTGCGTATGTCATCTTTGACTTTGATTCTCTCCTCCAGTTCTTCAGACTTTTTCAGGTCCGCATACGTCTTCATGCGAAGTGCCTCACTAGCCGCCACCGCTCCACCCAATAATCCTGCTAAACGAAGAGCTTCCATCCATAGTCCCTTCCGACATATCCTACTTGCTCCCCGGGGGTCTAGTTGCTTCCGGCCCTGCAGCACACCGCCGATCAAAGTCTCCTGCCAGCCTGGCGTCCACACAGCGGAGAGATTACTCGGCACGGCTTTTTCGGTAACAGATAATGCGCGGCGTGACCACGTGAACTCGCGGGTTGTTGGAAGGATATTGAACGGTTGGAAACGATAGCCGCCTTTCCACTCGGTGGTATGCTTTGGGTCGAGATTGTTGAGACGACCTGAGGAGGAGAAGGCCCGCTCGCATGCTTGTGGTACGTATTGGGAGTCTGGTAGAACCAAGGTCTCCAAATAAGCATTCCGAGGACTGATTAGTAGAGATGATGTAGATGACAGCAAGGAGGTAGCTTGTTTGACTGCCAATTTGTCGGTGCAAGATTTGCTCAGCGTAGGCGGGGCATCAGGTCGCGAAGGCTTTGCGCGGACAATGCCTAGAAGAGAGAAGTTCGATCGACCCCGGAGAGCCAATGTTTCTACTTGGTCAACTGCATCAGATCCGGTAGATAGAGTTGGTGGTGCACTAGTCCACGGCGTTGCATCTTCCTGCGCAGCCATGGTGAGCTCCATGCTGGCATCTCCACAGGGAGCTTCAGAGCAGTACATGTGGATGGACACATCTTCTCGGATAGTGAACGGCTGGCGTAGACTTTCGGAATGTTCGTCAGGCGACAGCCGCCGAAGGAAGTCGGATGTTGGATAAGGCGGCGTCGAGATGAGAATGCATTCGTCTATAAGGTAGCGGTTGAAGGCTCGGAGCGCTATGACTTCGGCGTGCCAGTCGTGGAGGATGTTGCCGTGTGCGAGGGGTAATTTGTTGGAGGGGAGACATTTCATGCCAGTTCTAAGGGAGGTTCAGCTGGTGTCATGACTTATTCACAGGTCGTATCGTAGTATGTTCGAGCATGCTAAGTTCAGAGCAATCTAGGAGCTCCGCTTCCTCAGTGGGGCGTTTTGCCCCTGCTGTCTGAAGTGTATGCGTGGTGTCACACCCGGTAAATCACTGGACTACACGATATCCGTTGAAGAGACAGTCTTCGGAGGTCGGCTGATGGAAATGGCTCACCCTAACGATACGCATGATAGAGCGCCACCTTGACTAGGTCATGAGCATAAGCAAGCATAGCTCCTTCCGGAAGCAAGTGAGCGATTACCTTTAGATAAGACGATTCCGGCGAGGGGTACCCATTCCCTTGCGCCATCGTGGCGGGGTCTCGGCTTCCGCTTTTCAGGTAGCTGAGCAAAGGCCCGGAGCACGCAGTCTGCGATGGCATCTGCGTCGGCGTCTGCAGCCATGGCAGTGAGGCGAGGTGGTGGGTGAAGGAGCGAGGGCGCGGTTGGGGCTCGGAGCATCCGGGGAGCCAGGCACGTCAGGGTCCATTGTTACCTTCGCAGTCGCAGAGCATCGCTCCTGCTACTCAGTCACAAAGAACCCTGTCACACGCTCAGCGCGAGTGAGACCCAGACTCCTTCACCTCCCCGTATCGCCTTGTTCCTCCTCTTCTCTTCTCAACATGCAAGCGTTTGGTGAGCAATGGCCGTGCGCCGCACCGTCGCATTCGCGACCCAGACACTCACAATCACAGTACCCAAGAACCGACGAGTAAGACTGCGCCAGTACACCAAAGTTGCACAGGCTGACATTTGCGCAGCCAAAATTTGATCTACACCTACGAGTGAGCTATCCATACTCAGGCATACGACCACACTCTGACGACAGCAGATAATCGACCTCAACAACGTACCACTCGTTTCTGGCACCTCATTCATAAAATGGCACCTCTCCCACTCCACGGCCGCCGAGCACCGCGGTCGCACAGACAGCTGCCAAGTCAAGGACCATAAAGTCGCCTACAACTACGACATCACCCTCCCTGTCCGTCTCACCGTCGACAAGAATGGCATGCTGCAGGAGTGTTATGTCGAGTTGGAGGTCGTGCAAGAATACGGCCGAGGCTCAGGACGAGGCGAGCGCATCACGTTAGGAACTGTCAAGCTCAACCTGGCCGAGTACGTGGAGCAGAGCGAGATGGCGACCATCGCGGGCGAGGAACCAGGCGTCACGAGGAGGTACCTCATGCAAGACAGCAAGATCAACAGCACGCTCAAGGTCGGAATATACATGAAGCAGACGGAAGGCGACAAGAACTTTGTTGCGCCGGCCTTGAAGACGGCGCAGGTCTTCAGTGGCATCGCTGGTATCATGGCGGGAGAGCAGGCCGAACTTGAGGACCACGGAGGTAGGACACTCTGAACTATACACGGGTCTCGTGCTAACGCCCACAGCTGCGCCCTCCCTGACGAGCAAATCCCGCGAAGCCGGCGAGCTCCAAGACATGTACAGACGCACCCTCGCCGCATACTGGTCTGCACAACCCGGCGAGCTCAAGGCAGATGAATGTATCGAAGACATATTCGCTGGCGGAGACGGATGGGGCGACCGCGAGAAACCATACTCCCAGCAGCCACGAGCTCAGCCCTTGCGATTTGCAGCAGGCGATAGCAGCAGCTCTGTGAGTGAGAGCGAGCACGGTCACATGCGCGGCGGCAGCAGCGCTCATCGCAAGTCGCATGAGACGCTGCGTCCTGGAGATATGAAATCGAATCACTCGCCTAACGTGCGGGGCCGGGGAAGTTTGGAGCAGCAGGCATCGCAGATGAAGGCAGAGGCGGCACGCAAGCGACATCGTCCACACCATGAGGTAGATGAGTTTGACCTGCGCGAAGATCTTTGCAGCTGGCGTCGTCCAACTTGAAGGTCAAAAGGTGCCACTGAAATGCAAATTCCTACATTTAATATTGAACTCTGAAGTAATGCTCGCGGGCGTCGCACTATGACGCGCCTCACACGTGAAAGCGCGATGGCAGAATTAGGGCGGTCACGAAAGTTGGAGCACGCATCGCACTTTCCGAGCCCGTCACTGCCATCCTCATTGCACTTTTTCCCCGCTTCGTCCTCCTTCATGCTTGCGCCCCGGACCTCGAGTGCATTTGTATGCCTCCGATGTGAAGCGCAAATTGCCCGACGGCGACTGCCCGCTTTTCCTCGCCCACCATCCCGAGCCAGGTTTTCTGCGTCTGCACGCCGCCGCGGTGATGCTGAAGACGAGCAACCACCGCCTCTGAAGATCACAAAACAAGTGACGCCGATCAATCGCTTGAGGAAGAGGAAGGGAGAAAAGATCCTACGAGAAACTTCGCAAGATCTGGGCGTCAAGCGATTGGGCGACGATGCCGATATCTTGGTCCTGAGGGAAGTCGGGGAACCAGCACAAAGAGAAGCCACCACAACCACCGAAGCCTCCGAAGATGCCGAAGTAATCGAAATCTCCGAACCTCTCGAGGTCCCAGACATTCTTGCCTCAATCGAAGAAGAAGGGAAAGCGCTCGCGCCGGAAGAAATATACAAGCAGATCGAGACCTTGCGACCGAACAACGATGGCGACCCCAATGAGCCGCATCACGTCAAGCAGACTACGTTTGTCAAGCTGAGAAAGACCCTCATGAAAGGCTTCACGCAACAGCAATTGATAATCTTCTACTCGGTCGCAAAGAATATACGGCAAGAGAAGGTTAATCAGGGAGTGATCGACAGCATCAAACGGAAGGACCAACTAGGAAACCAGAAGCAACCTGTGGAGCGATCAGAATGGCAGCCAGGTACTACGCCGATAACTCAACGCCTGCCTGGCGTTGATCGTATTGTCAAGATCATGGGCTACCGCAAGAACGTCAGCAAGCAGCTGCTTGTTGATCGCATAATGAGGGATGTTTGGAATCTCGTACTCTTGGAAGAAATCGAATCCCCCGGAGAGCTAGAGCTTTCTCTGCAACCGTGGCAGGTGATGCTGCTTAAGGCTGGTGGTACGTACTATAGCATCCTTAATCGTGGATCTCGCTAACATGCCTGCAGACAAAGACACCCTTTTTGACAAGATTCGACGGACCCGACGAGTGAGGCTCGACATGTACAAACCGGATAACGCCCTCCGCATCACATCCGATAAGACGACAGCAGAGTACGCTGCCAATGATATCGAGGAAGCCTTCCAACACACTGAATTGAAGCGGATGAACCTGAACAACTATTTACGCCAGCTAGCAAATGGCCCTGTTGCGTTGGATTCAAAGTCCAATCTGGTAACTTTGTTTTATACACAGAAAGACTTTGATGTCGTCTCGGCTCTGACTCGCACGAGTATTGAGGCAGTCGGCAAGTCTATGGTATGCACGATCTCTGTATATCGTTCAAAACCGAGCTAATTCTTTTAGTTGGTAATCAGAGGCTTCGACGTGAGCTCCATAGAAGAGGCAAAAAGGACACTGGTCAGGTTTTTGCCTTTCAAGGATGCAGCTGAGCGTACCTTCGACACTCAGAAACTGGGAAGTGCCGAGAGTGCAGCGTTCTTGTTGCCGGTTCTTACCGAACACGATTCTTTGAAATACAAGTATCGCAAACGAGAGTTGGGACGTCTGTCAATGCCTATCATGCGGCTCACTGAGCCTGACACTGCGGAAGCTCAGGCTGCGAAACCCGCAAAAGCCCCAAAAACAACACTCCACGGTCTCGTGAACCGGACTCTAGGGACCATTCTACGACCCGCTTCTGCTGTGTCATTGCCTAAACACGAGTTGAGCAATTGGATACCGAACCCAACATACGAGGTCTCCGCCGAATTTGGCCAGGCTCTATTCCCTCTCGAAGATGTGGACCCCAGCCGAGTAGTGGAAGCTGCTCTTTCCGAACCGTCCAAGGCACCTTTTCTGTCAACATTCCCGGGACTGAATAGTGTCTTCACATCGCCCAACTATTCTGTCGTTTCGCGCTTGCAAACACCATCTTTGCACTACGAATTCAGACCTGACCTGGAGCACGAGCCAGGACAAATATTTCCCAAACTCAGGATCCAAATGCGTACTGGTCGCAGTGGTGCCAAAGCCACTTTCCGCAAACTCGCACTGAGCTTCGATCATCGTATCCACGATGTTCTGCTCCCAGACAAGGCCGTAGATGTACGATTTCAACGCCGAGCAAACCTCAGCTTCAACAACAGGGACCACAATGACGAGAATGTACAGGCATGGGTTGATGCCGTAACAGACAACATTGAGAGCGGTGGCCGCCTCACTGCGCCACCTCTCCGCATCCAGATCCCCAAGTGGACTATACCCGGATTCCCGAGTGAAGAAACGGGCATGCGTACCGTCACGTATCACTTCTCTGGTATCCAGTTCCGGCAACCGGTGATTGGAAACCTATTCGGTGTAGGTGTTTCGTACAACACTGTGCAGTCTGGCAAGCTCGGTGCCAAGGGCGGCGCGCTCACTGCGCATTACAGTGGCCATGGCGATACAGAGTTGCGCGACGAAAGTGCGATGAAAGCCTTCGTGGAGAGGTGTTTCAAGATGGCAGACTTGATCACTGATGCGAGTAAGCAGACACTTCCTCCGTCTCGCGTAGTCCGCCCTCGCGATATGAACAGTGGACGGAAGGCGAAAAGAATGGGATTATCGGGAGATCGAGCTCAGGCTGTGGATGAGCAGAGCATGGAGCCGCCGAACGATCTTGTCGAACGCGTTGGGGAATACCCGGATGTGAAGGACGATGTTGAGGCGAAAGAGAACGCGGTAGCTGTTGAGGATGTGGTGGAAGAGCAGCCAGTTGATGGAAACATGGAGTCACGATCTGACGACTTGGTTACCGAAAGCGAAGACAACGTTCGCACTTTGTAGTCACCAAATTCAACTCTTCAAAGCAACTCTCACCAAAAATCTGGCCATGTTCCTAACTTGTTAGCCCTCATCTCATGGAGCGTCACGTCAAGAACATCACGGTGAGATATTCTCTTCGAGCAAATCATCAGTTCGTAAGAATTGATTAGGCCATAGTATGGTGATCTTAAGAAACCACGGATGCAACGAGTAATAATGTGTCCATGCTTCTACATGGGGTATCTACCGTGTATCTTGCATGAGTTGTAGCAGGCCTTCTGCGGCGTCGCTCTTAACACCGCCGACACTGCTAGCCAGACTATAGTGTTGTTGCTTCATTCTCTGAAGCCTGTAGTGCGGGTTCTCTTCCTGCACGTTGATGCGCTCTGCATCGTGCTCACCCATTCGTGTTCTTGAGTCAGAGTGCGGCGGGTAGTAGTTCCTGGGTCGCACAGGCGACGAGAGTTGATCGGGGGCTACTGAGTGGGGCAGTTGAGGCCCGGGTGGTGAAGACGTGAATGCATAGCCGGGCACCATGCGCGATGATGCGGGCATGTTGCCTTGGGGTATGGCGAATTGAACGG